AAGGAAATAGCGTTTTGGTTTCCCGAAGTTAAACAACGTTTGGGCGGAAAACGCATCTCACTATTGATCGTGACCACGTGTCGCAAATCAGTGAATAAGAGTGATCGTCACACTTTGAGAAACCAAATCGTCGTTCTCTTCCATTGAAACACTCAAGCGATGAGTCGTTTCCCTCCTCTACATTAAATACGCCCACGTCCGCATTTAATGCTCTACTAGGGAATGTCGTTTTAGCATGGCTCACATTTAATGCGCATGGTTGGCAGTTATTGCATACAGGACACGTTTGTCAGAGCAAAAGGTGTTCTATCAATGCATCAGCTACAAAAGTGCAATGGATAACATCTGAAGAGGTCGTTACATTACACTCTTCCTTTTATGTCAGTCGCGAAGCAACGTGACTCTCCGACCTCGTCTTATGCCAGTCGCGAAATGACGTGACTCTTCGATCTCGTCTTATGTTAGTTACAAAGCGACATGACTCTTCGACCTCATCTTATGTCAGTCGCGAAGCGATGTGACTCTTCAATCTCGTCCCATGTCCGTCGCGAGGCGACATGACCCTTCGACCTCGATGTACATCAGTTGCGAAGCAACATGATCTTTTGCCTTCGGCAAAAATCCTGCTAAGTGTAATCAAGTAGTGAATCTCGGTTAAAACCAGAATCTTCGTTGCGGCACTAAATAAGGTCTACGAACAGGTCGCTGACCTTTAAAGTGGAGATCGATTCAGGTCACCTACATGAGAATGTTTTCTTGACCTCTTTGCAACCAGGTTGGATCGACCAGTATCTCTTCAAACACATCAAATCAAGGCATAATTATATAGTTTCCAAGGTTCGGTTCTCAAACCTTAAAAACTAGGGGACTTCTGTTATGCCTGGAAAAGGAGGGTTGACGCAGAACCCTGCCAACGTAAGCGGTCAGAGCTTAGGTGGATCCCACAACTATTCAGATGCAGCCACGTCGCATGCTGACGTGAGCAGAATGCTCCTACCAGTGCAGTGGGTGTGCACCAGAGTGACGAAAGGTTGGAGCCACTCACAAATTCAGTAATCATTACCTTAATTTATCCCACTATAAATAGAGGGCTCCTCTCCCGTTTGTGGGATTAGCTAATTTGTCTCTGGAACAACATACATACACACACCCTCTCTCTCTTGTAATCATTTGTAAATCAACTTGCTGAACGCGACCTAATCTTATATATTAATACAATACCAATGGACGTAGGATTCGCTTACATAAGCATCCAAACCACATTAAAACATTATTCCTCATCTTTTACTCATTTCAATACCCCCATACACGTGTCTTCTGAGCCAGCTCAACATTTCTCACGTGCGATTAGTTGGTGTCAAAATCAAGCATTAACACTAGCAAACATATATATATATTTATATAACGACAGTGACATTGAGGTTTTTATATTTGGAGATTAGTTCTTATTTATATATATCAAGGCACAAATTTTTTATCTTTACTATTCACTCGGCTCTCCTCCTTTATCAAGAGTTAAGATGGGAAGAGAGCAAATCCAACCTCAATCTCCTCTTCAACTCCTCTCCAGGAAGTTGATAAATCCGGCAATTCCAACCCCTCATGACCTTCACAACTGGAAAATATCAGCCCTTGATCAATTATATCCTTCACTTTATGTCCTCTTCATTTTCTTCTATCCTAATTTCATTGAAAAAAATTTCAATTAGCCGGCAAGAAGTTGGACAATTCACTATCCAAAATTTTAGCCCTCTTCTATTCTTTAGCAGGAAGATATATCAATGACAATATTTCAATAGATTGTAATGATAATGGGGTTGAATTTAAAGAAACCCTAGTAAATGGCAAGCTTTCTACAGTGCTTGGGAAAGATGTTGATTGCAGGCAGCTTAGCCAATTGATTACTCACCAATTTGAATCACCTACTAGTCCTTTATAATTAGCAATTCAATGTAACATTTTTTAGTGTGGTGGATTAGCTATCGGTTTGAGCATTTCACATAAGATAGTTCATGGATTTTTGTTCACTAAGTTTATTAATGCATGGGCTACTTCATGCCGATTAAGGCTCCATAAAGTTGATCACCCAAGCTTTGATTTACCTTCGCTTTTGCCCACAAGAGATGCGGTTCTTGAAATTAAGCCTGTACCACGATTTAATCTCGGATTGAAGACTGCATGGAGGACGTTTGTTTTCGATGGTTTTGCGATATCTAATCTAAGGAAGATTACAAAGAAGGTTGCAAAGAATCACATAAATCTTCAAGGGTACAATTGGTGATAGCAATTATTTGCAAAGCTCTCATGAGGGTTTCTCAAACTAAACATGGGCAATTGAGGCCTTCTATAATTTGTCATACAATGAACATGAGAGGAAGAGCAGTCCTTCCAATCTCAAATGATTGTTGTGGAAGCCTATAATACCCCATATTTCTATGTATTTTTGGAATTTATTGGTTGTTTTTGGGGAAAAATTGTAAGAAATTGAAACTTATCAGGGGTGTTATGGTAAGGAAATAAGAACTAGGAGGACCAAAGGAAATTTGGCATCAAAGGGACACATTCAGGCCTCAGACCTGAGGCTTGAATGCCATGGAAGGAATTTTGTCTGCCTCGACAGGAAGCCCAAGTGTGGGGGGCCATATGTTAGCTTTTAAAGTATAAATTGGGGTCCAAGAGTAATAATGTAAAGTTTGTGGACTATTTGGTATAAGATACAAGTATAGGATGGCAGAACGTATAAAAATTTTAGGGACTTATATGATATTTGGCCAAACAGGGATGCATGCAAAGTTTGCCAGGGGTGCATGCAGAGAAATTGCCAGGAATGATTTGTAAGTTATCAAAGCCTTTGTTCTATGATTTCAGGGGTTGAAATGTGACAGCCAAATTCTTGGGGGTGCAAAATGGCCAAGGGACTTTGGACCCAAGTAAAATTTTCTTGGGCACAATATAAACCCATTTTAGTTCATTTTATTACAACAAATGAAAGAAGAAGCAAATTTGAGTGGTTGAGAGGAGAGTGTCGAGAAGAAGATAATAAAAGGAGGAGGCGGAATTGAGTGATTTTGGTGGAAAAAGAGCAAGTTCATGCATGCATTTTCCCTAACCTTCTGTATTTCATTTTCTTGTTCTTCTTATGGGTGATGCTAACTTCTTTTTGGCAAAATTTGGAAACAATAGGAGAGAGGAGCCAAAATTTGAACACTTGAGCTGGGAAGGAAGATTTTGATGAGTGGAATAGTATTAAATATGGGTGAGCGATTCTGGGTCACCCATATTGGAATACTGTTTCTTAAAACTGATTCCTACCTGGCAACCGATTGGTTCCAATTCCAATTCCTAGCAATTGGAATACTGTTTCTTAAAACTGGTTCCTACCTAGGTACTTGGACCTCAGTTCTAGGTCAGGTTCCCTGGTAGGTTCTGGTTCCTTCAATGAGTGGAACTGGTACCTACCCGTATAGTATCTGTTCCAACCACAATGAAATAGGAGCCGATCCTATGAGGGTCGGTTCGGATTCTTACTCAGAACTGGCGGTTCGAGTGCCTGCTGGTTTCAGGTAAACCTGTTACCCATAGTATTAAACTTGCATTAAAATCATGTTTTGGTTGGAATGATCATATGTATGTGCATAATCACTTGATTGTGATTTTATTTTAACTCTTGAGTTACGAATTTTAATAAATTGGAGATTATCTTTGCCATGCATGTGCTTAATTTTAATAAATATCTTTGATTGTGTTTGGAATGAGAGTATGGAATTATGGATTTATATATATTGGTTAATTTTGACATGCATGTGCTTAATTATGCATATACATAATATTGGTGAGTAGTTTTTAGTTATGAGAATTTGTAATGATGGAAATTGGTTATTGCTGTGGAAATTCAGTCGTTTATGGGAAGGGCTGGTGGGTTTTGAAATTGAATGGAGAAGTAGATAATAAATGTGTAAGATTAGTGGAATTAGATTGGTTGATGAATTGGAATGAAATTTTTTTGGTTTGATTTATTAAATGTTAAGTTGAGTAAAATTCTGGATTTTCTTATTTATTAAACTCTTGATTGATTGTATGTTACGTGGAATGTTGGAAATAGGATTGTAAATCTGAAATTGGTGTAAATGTATTTTTATATGAGACTTATTGAATTGCATTTGAACGGGGATTGCTTTGGTATATTGCTTGTAAATGGTAAGAAAAGTTGAAAAGGGAAAAAGAATGAAAATTGTGGGCTGGAGCATTACACTGCCACGACGGAGATATTTTCCTACCGCGGCATTGTGCTCTGGGGTGAAAATGGGGAAACTGTCATGTTTGAGAGTTATTTTTGGGGGTTGACTGGGACCGTTGAGATAGAGATATTTTATGGGTGCTCAATGAAATTTTCACATGGTTGATTACAAAGTGTTGTTATATATATATGGTAATAAAAGTTGAAAAGGGAAAAAGAATGAAAATTGTGGGCTGGAGCATTCCTCCCACGACGGAGATATTTTCCTACCGCGGCATTGTGCTCTGGGGTGAAAAGGGGGAAACTGTCATGTTTGAGAGTTATTTTGGGGGGTTGACTGCAAAGATTGAAAGTTTGGGACTGTTGAATAGAGATATTTTATGGGTGTTCAATGAAATTTTCACATGTTTGATTACAAAGTGTTGATATATATATATATACATATAAAGTGAGGTGACAAAAAATAAATGAAAAAGTGAAACAAAAAGTCAAACTCATTAAATTTACTATTTCATTCATTTTTTATTACATCATTTTGTATTTAGATTTTTGTAAAATTCCTTTGTAAGTATAATATTATCCATAAATATAGCGGAGGTCTAGAGGAGGACTGGTACTATAGAAGTATGATCTCAATCCAAAAGATAAAACACATCCACATATATTGCATCCCAATATCCAAACACATTAAGAAATATGTATGCCCTTATGCAATATATATATATATCATACATAAAATGATATTATTATAGTGATCAATTCTTCAAAGGCATAAGCCAGAAATGACTCTAGCTAAATCATCTAAAGCCTTGTAAGAACTCCCACCCTCATTGATAGCATTTAAAGCTTTCTCACGTAGCTTCATAAATGAAATTCTTTCAGGTCGATTCTCACTTACTGACTCTTTCAAGATTTGAGCAAGATTCGTTGAGTCAGGAATCGTACTCAATCCCTCACAAACTCTAATAGCTACACCCAATTCATCCACAAGTTGTTTTGCGTTAAAGAAATGATCAGCTTGCATTGGCCATGCCAGCAATAAAACCTCTCCCAATAGACCCTCAAGAACAGAGCCCCATCCCAAATGAGTCAAGTATGATCCAACCGCTCGATGATTAAGTATCATTGCTTGTGGAGCCCATCCTCTTATCACAACTCCCCAGCCACACGATCTTCAAATCCAACCGGAACAATGCTCTGATCACCTTCTTTTCCTCCTTTCCGTGGATCTTTCACAACCCATATAAATTTGACTTCACTCTTCTCCAGTGCCTCACCTAAAGCTTCCATTTGGAGCTTGTTCAATGTGATCTGACTTCCAAATCCCACATACACCACTGATTTATCCACGTGGCACGAATCAAGCCATGTCATCACCTCGTCTGTTGGGATTGAGCTTGCCCCTCCTCGTTCTGGACCAGCTTTGATCGGAACCAAAGGCCCCACACCCCAAACACGATCATGCTTCATGAACCGTTTAACTAATAAATCAAATTTCTCGCTCTCTAGCTCAGTAAATGAATTAAAAACCAGTCCCCAGCTTTGCTGGTTTTTGATATGTGTTTCCTTAAAAAAATCGTTGGCGTTTCTTATATCATAAGAATACAAAGCATTCGCATTAATCGGACTAAAGCCGATGCGTTTGACGTCCGAATTCGGAACCAAACGATGAGCAAACGAACTCATAAGAACATCGAAGATGATAGCAACAGGAGGAGAAGGGTGAGTTTGAAACCAATGAGAAATAGGATCACAGAGCTCTCTCAAAGCAGCAACTAGTTGAGGTATATAATCTGCAGTGAGATCTTGCATATTCTCAACGCCATTAGGGATTGAAGGGTTAGAAGGGAAGGGTAAAACAAGGGTTTGAATGGAGGGATGAAGAGAAAGAAGAGGGTTCAGATAATAAAGATTTTTGGGAGTGATAAATATGGTCGTTTGAAGGCCTCTAATGGCTAGCTGGTGAGTCAAGTCAAGAAGAGGAAGAATGTGACCGGAGGCTGGGAACGGGATCATAAGGATATGAGCAGTTTTGCTGCTTGAATTTGACATTTTTCTCTTTTAGTGGTGTGTGTGATTGTGCATAAAATGGAGGACTTGAAGCTCACACTTCATAAGGAAAAATTGGGCAGCATATGCTTCGATGAGTGGATATTATCAGAAGGCATCAATTCAAGTAACAATAATTCAATAAATTTGACTGGTGGCTAGAGAATAAATTATTGTTAGATGCTACCATTATTATCAGATTACATTAAGCCTATTAGTTGAGCATCATTTATTATTATTATTATTATTATTTTTAAACAAGATATCTAAACCAACTTGCACACACCTTTACTAATCTTTAGGTTTTATTGATCAATAATGGCAAAACTACTTTTTCGCAACTTCACCAAGAGGTTCTTCTCTTCTCAATTCTCAAACCCTTCTCATCGGGCCCTTTCTTCCTCAGGTACACCTTCTTTATCTCTCTCTCTCTCTCTCTAAAATTTTGTTGAATTAGATGCATTTTCATATTACTCTTTTTTACTATCTCTTTTAGTCTCTGAAGCTCACAGTTGAATGTGTTTCACCGTCCATTTACCACTCCAATGCGTTCATTTTGTGGAAAAAAATGGTGGGTTTTAATGTTTAGAGTGTTATTTATCACACATTAGCTTTTTTAAGTTAATTTTATTCATCTACCAGGTCATTTTCCGAGCAAAAGATCCAATTTTTAGTTCAAATACTATGTTAATTTTACTGGAACACACAAACCCTAGATGAGTTTTGAGAAATTTGAGGTTGGTTCGGTACACTTTTCATACTCTATTCTATTATATTGTCTAATCCAATCCAATGAAAAATGTGTTTATTTTAATATTGACTATTCAATTCAAAATCTAATCATATTTTGTTCAACTCAAAACATTTAACATTTACCTTTCACAATAAAAGGTTATAAATTAACAAAAACACTTACACCCACCCAATCCACTATCACTCACCAATAGCCAACGCTGACCACCATCGCTAGAACAACGCATGATTGACTAGATTTGACTGGTTATGCGTCGAACTTTCCTTTTCCGACCAAATTCACCAGAATCTGACATGAAATGGTCAAATCTATGGCTAAAGATCTGGTCGTTGACGACGACCAGATCTTGGGGTCGTTATTGATGGCCAGATCTTAGGGTCGTCATTGATGGCCAAATATTTGATCGTAGATCTAGCTTTTTCCAGCTATGTACACGGTGGATCTAGTTGGAAAAGGCAAGATCGATGCACGACCGGCTAGATCTAGTCGATCGTGTGCCGACAACGGACAGCCACTATCCGACAGTGGTGGCCGACTGCCGCACAGTCAATTGGGTGGGTGGGAGTGTTTTTGTTAATTTATAAACTTTTATTATAGAGGTAATTTAACTAAATTAACATATATAGGGGGTGAAAAAATAATCTAAATATTTTCAAAAAATATTTTCTAATAATATAATAATCACATTTGCATAATCATATCCTAAAATGTATTATGAATAAGATTTTAGAAATCCTATTCAAAAAAGTGTACCGAACAGCCTTTGTCATGGAATTGTTAGTTGAGCATCATTTCAAGTGACACAGTAAGAGATATTTGTTTTTTCATTATAGACATAGCACTTGGGTGTGTTTGTTTTTCCCACTTAAATCTTATATCTGACGAGAATTAGAGTCACTTATTTTTAAAACTTTTGACCAAATAGAAAAAGTACATTTTCTTAACTTAATTTTAAAATCTGAACACTCTTTATACATACATAAATATAGTTAACTAAAATATCCCTATATGATAATAAACTTAAATTTAAATAATGCTAAAAGGAGACATTTAATTTATTTTATTTTAAATATTTTAAAACTAAATTCTCTTATTAATAATTAATGTATTTTGCGGTGGCCGAATTTTTTTTGGCAAGATTCGGTAACAATATTAATATCATAATGATTATTTTTAAATGTTTTATCTATATTTTACAATTCATATATATGTATTCGATGATTCAATGTAAAAGATTGTTATTTGAAGGCCTCTAATGGGTAGCTAGCTGGTGAGTAAGTCAACATGAGGAAGAATTTGACCAAAGGTTGTTAATGTGGGATCATTAGAGCATGAGCATTTTTGCTTCCGGACTTTAATATCTTTCTCTCTTAATGTGAGTGATTGTAGGTAGAATAATGAAGGAATTGAAGCTCTAAATTTACAAGGAAAATTCATATCCACAAACACTAAAAATTGTTATCTACAAACACCTGTGGCATTCTTTGACCACTGAATATATATTTTCTCAATAAGATTAGTTGAAGCATCACTTCAAATGAATAGTTAATAATTAGTTTTTCAATATTAATACTTATATATGGGGTTTGGATTTTCGTATTTTAATTCAATAATAAGTTATGGGTTGAATTTGCTTTAAAAAGATTTGAAACGATAAAGATGTGATACAACACGAAACTGTTTCCAACATATATTTGTAAACAGAATTTATCCGAAAGGCTTCATAAACGATGAGATGATAAGAAGATAAATTTAAGAATACAAGTTCAACACCATGAGCTTGTGTAATTCGACTTCTAAAATACTAGCAATAGTCCTGATTCTTTCTACAACTATTGAATGGTCATTTTACTGCTATATGAATTATGCTAACAAGATTTTGCAACAAAATGGAAGGCTTTCTAGTGAATTTATTGATTTTTTATATTGAAAGGGAACTCGTTGAGAAATTTAACACAAAATCAACAACAATCGATGTACAAAATAAAATAAATTATTTTATTGTATTACTCAATTGGTTACGTTAGATAGTTGCTGAGCTGTAAAGTAGTTAATTGGCTAGATTAGTTTTGATTAGCTGTCAAGAGTCCAAGTAGCTATTTACCTATAGTTCTTTGTATAAATACTGCATTTACTTTACTTAGAATAATAAGAATACTACTTTAACAAAATTGTTTTTACTCTGTAAAACCTTGCGTTACTTTGTTCATGGTATCAGAGCAATAGATCCTTTACAAATCCATTGCTTTTCTATTTTTGTGATATACTCTTGCTTCTGGTCGTCATGGAACCTAATATAAGGAGCTCGAATTTTTGAAGTGAAAGAGCGATGGAATTTGATTCAGTAGGAAGTGGAGACAACATATGAAGCGGAGATCCTCTGTATCTGCAAAATTCTGATCATCCAGGAATGATTCTTGTTTCATCTCTACTAATGGATAAGAACTACTTATCTTGGAGTCGTTCGATGAAAATTACACTAGGAGCCAAAGTGAAGTTAGGGTTTATTAATGAAAATGTAAAATACCTGATGAAAGTTCTCCAGAATTGAGCAATGGAGGAGGGTAGATTGCATGGTTACTTCTTGGATTTTGAACTCGATTTCACGAGAGATAGTTAAAGCTTTCCTATATACAACCTCATCTAAAGATTTGTGGAAGGAATTGGAAGAAAGGTTTGGTGAATATGTAATGGACCTTTGTTATATCAAATACAAAGGGATATCAGTTCAATTAATCAAGGAAATATGTCGGTAGTACAATATTACACAAAGCTCAGGAAGTTATGGGATGAATTGACATGTTTAATGCCTATACCACAGTGTAGTTGTGGAGCAAGTAAATCAGTGGCAGAGATGACTTCTTTTAATCATTTGATGCAATTCCTTATGGGATTGAATGACAGTTAAGATCATGTTCAAAATCAGATTTTGGTTATGGATCCCTTACTCACCATTAACAAGGCATATTCAATGATCTTGTGAGTTGAAAAGCAAAGAGAGGTACATGTAGCATTAGCAGATAATCTTGAGAATAGTGCTATGTTTGTAAAAGCATAAGGTGTTAAGAAAGAAGCTATTGCCAAGATAGGATACAAAAGGAAGGATATGGTTAAAAAGTTAGATAGGCATTGTGATTTCTGCAATAATGATGGACATACGAAGGAGACTTGTTTCAAGCTTCATGGTTATCTAGATTGGTACAAAGATTTAAGGAACAAAAGGGAAAGATTCAACACAAGACTTATGCAAATATGACTGAGACACCTCTGGAAGTTGAGAAAGAACTAGGTAATACTGGAATTAAGTGGGATACAACAATATTAGAATTAATCCAGCAAGAGTTGGCCAAGCTTATGAAAGGGAAAGCGTCAGTTGATGGCTCTACAATCGATTTTGCTCATTTTTCTGACTTTGCAGGTATTGATCTAACACAAACATTAAGTTTGATTGAATTGTTAGATTCAAGATCTTGGATTATAGATATAGGAGCCTCGAGTAATATGTGTAATGATCTTGCCTTGTTTAAAACCTATAATTCAATTCATAAACCCACACCTATATACTTACCAGATGGATCAATTAATTTTATCCAACACATAGGAAAAGTCGTTTTGTAGCTAGCTTTAACACTTAATGAGGCTTTGCGTATTCCAAATTTTAAGTTCAACTTACTTTCAGTAAATAAACTTTCAGATTCCGCACTCATCAAGTTTGTTTTTTTATCCTACTCACTGTCTCTCATAGGACCTGCAAACTGAAGCAGTATAGGTAGTTGGCAAGTTAGTGGGAAGATTATACATTCTAGATAAATCCTCTTTTCTGCTACAACACATACTTGTAACACTTTTTGTTTTGTCACTAATAATGTTCCAACATCGACTTTATGGCATCAAAGATTAGGCCATCCATCACATGATATTCTTAATAAAACTTATGTTATCAAGCATTCTGATTTTGCTACTTTTATTTGTGATGTTTGTCCTTTGTCGAAACAACATCGATTACCTTTTTATCCTAGCACAACTCATTCTCACACAACTTTTGAATTGATTCATATCAACATTTGTGGACCCTATAAAGTAGCTACATTTATAGTTCATATATTGACCACAATTTTTAGAATGATTAAAAATTAGTTCTCCTTGTCAGTTAAAATAATCCAAACTGATAATGGAACTGAGTTTCTTAGCAAAGATTGTCATACTCTTTTCCTTGTACATGGCATTTTACATCAAAGATTATGCACTT